ACTATATATAGAAACCAAGAACGATGAGTGACTTTCCAAGTAGTGCGTCACACTTTCAGAATCAAGTCCACTGTCCTTTGCTCAGAGGGGTCTCGAGGAAACCTCGAACATTGCTTTTGCTTGTGCCCTTGCTTAACCATTCAAGATGATGTATTACTCACCCTCTGGATTTAGTGTTTCTTTCCTGCCTTAGTAGGAGACTCTCCCATCTAGGTCTCCATTTCTCCTAAGGGCGTTCAGGAGCCCCCAGAAGCTGCAAGCTCCACATTAGGAAGCCAGAGGCCTGACGCTGAGGTGACTGAAAGGTTGGGAAGCAGACAGCTGGGCCAGCCCACACACCAGAAACTTTCACCCACATACACCTCTACAGCTGTGCTCAGCAGTGTGGACAGGGAGCACCTTTTAAAAGATAGAGTGAGGTGGGGGAAAAACCCACAGAAATTAGAGAGCAATAAGCATAGTACGCTGTGTATCTGAACTTCGGCTTCTGAAACAGAATCTTGCCTTTAGTGATTTCTCCCATGGCCATAAAATAGAAAAGCCATTCCAATTTCCAAAGTAGGTCACACAGGGAAGGGGAGAGAGGAAAGGAGGGAGAGAGGCACAAGCTGATAAATGCAGATGCCAAGGCACTTTCACCCTTTTCCAAACCAAAAATAAAACTTGGAAATTGTCTGAAGGATATGAGAACTGTAGCTTAAGGAAGCCAGGGAGAAAAAAGTGGGTGGGGTGTTCTTGCCCTAAATTCACATGTCCACATTTGACCTCAACTCAGTGGAGTTCCTCCTGAGGACTGCCCCTCCCCCATCACTTTACAAGCTTTGAGCTCACTTCCTGCTGGTCATCTGTGGTGCATGATGCCAAATAACTGCTCCTCTCTCCCACTTCTAATAACTCACTGCAAGAGTCTCTCTATTCATCAACCAAAGACTAGAGGCGGGGAAACAGGGCAAAAAAATTGTTTTGGATTTCTCCATCCAAGTGGTTCTGTGATTCATTATATGTTCTACACAACAGCACATGCAGTTCTAGCAAAGGCAGGGGAGCAGAAATGACATGTAGGCCATGTTTGGGGTCCCCTTGCCTTTTCTTTCCTGCATCTGGCACAGGCCAATTGGCTTTCAGCTGCTGCTAGATTTTAGTATGCATACTGCCCTACCCAACGTTGGCTGTTATGATGGAATTGGGGGTCTGGTGAGACAGAGAGGAAGACTTCCAGCTACCACAGCTGTGGCTTGATCTCCAGGGCCCAGAGTTTCTGGAGACTTAAGTCTCACAGTCAAGAGAATCCAGATCTTTTAATTTCTTCATAGTGGGCTGCCTCACTCCCAATCAAAGTTTTTTCCTAAGAAGTTAGACTCTTCACCAGAGAAAGTATGAGTGTGAGTATCCTCAGAAGGCAGAGAGGAGACTGAGAAACACCTGGAAACCCAGACAGACAGACATGGAAAGACAAAAGAGCTGCAACACTAGTAGAAATATCTATGGCACAAAAGCCAGGATGATACAGTGACTTAGCTAGAGATATCCAAATATAGTGAATCAACTTGAAGAAATACTTGTAATGGGTGGTATCCTGGATTCAAAAAGGCATCAATCACAGAGTAGCCACGAGAAATCCTATACCTCAGAGATAATTTCAATGCTATGAGTGGCAGGAATACAGTTTTCATTGTGTACAGATGTTTTTGTTTACGTATGCATTGTTTGTTTTTAACCTCAGAGACAAGTACCCAGCTGCTACCCTGTCCCAAGATTTGAGAGATAGAATAGGCCAAAGAAGGAGGTGGGAATACATGGCTTTCAGCCTATCTTTGAGTTCTAGAAAAACTGAAATGAGCCTTGTTTTGGCATCTGGTAGAATGACTGGAGTTGGTAAACCCGGCAACATCCTAATTTGTAGGAAAAAATCAGAGGGCTAGGGCCAGGGCTAACTTTGTGCTAAATGGGTGGGAAAGGCACAGTTGATTCTCACCTGCCCTCCATAAGTCAGAAATATGGCTTATTACACAGGCCAAAGACTTTTTTTTTTTTTGGCACTGGGGATTGAACTCAGGACCTCAAGCTTTCCAAGTAGGCGCTATGCCACTGAGCTAAATCCCCAGCCCCTGAAGGCTTCTAATAACCAGATTCCAGATATTTTATTATAAAATTCTCAATAAGCAGATCTATCAACAAACATTACAGGCCTACTCTATGCCAGACCCCTAAAGGAATCAACTGCTGGAGATGCTCAATGGCAGTGACAGGAACCAGCCCCTCTTTCTGCAGCTTCTGAAGCTAATTGCCAGCACTCTCTTACCTACCCGTTAAGTGGGCCATATCCAGTGGTGGAGGCTGTTCTTGATCTGCAGAGCAGGGGAGAGGAAGAGGCCTCTGCAGGAATGCATTCCCTGGAGGCTTCCTTCTTGCCCGTAAGATTCCAAAGGTCTGAGGCAAACTCCAGGAAGTAGTCCAGCTAAGAAGCTTTGGGCTATACTCCCCCGGGAGAGAGAAGTTGCTAGAGAGTTTTTATTTTTTTAGTTCTCATGCCCACTGCAGGGGTGGGGATGGCAGGCATTGAGAAAAACTGTTTGGATCAGGAAGGAAGCGTTCAACTAGATGTGTGTATTTTATCATTTCTGCCTTTACTATTCATTCTGTACTGTACCGTCAAGAAATACTACTGAAAAACTCCAAGGGCATGAGTTAAAATTGTAGTGATTCCTAATATCTACTCTGCTTCTACTATGTTTTTCCTCCTGAGGCTTTCCACTGGGTGGAATTTTAAATTTGAACAATGGTTCAAAGGCTAAGAGACAAACTTCTCATTACTGAAAGAGTGCCAGGAATCCTGGGAAGCCGACCTCACTCCCCACTGGAGCACTGCACCTCCTCCTAAGGGCTTCTTTCATAGTCACGGAAGGTTGGATCAGCATTTCTTTTCATTCCCATCTTCTTTCAGGAACTGCTGTGATAAAAGAGAACCTAGGCAAATAAAAAATTCACAAACAGGACAGGAATAAAATATTTAGGGCAAGAGATCAGAAATCCTTTGGTTACTCAATGAACTGAACTAACTCTACTAAGAAAAGGTGTAAGGAAATTAATGTCCATCAAAGTCCACGACACAGCAGGTATTAGCCTTCAGGCCCCATTCACACAGGTTCAAAGCAAGATCGTCCTTCACAGTAAGTTGAAGAGACTCACATTCATCTAGAGACTCACATTCATCTACCGATACAATGAAACAGTTGTCATTATTAACTTCATTCTCAATATTAACTATGTATTTATTGAGATACAGTCCACCAAAATTGTTACATGACCTAGTCCCTCAAACTTCTCATCCCAAATTCTTATCAATGATAGATGGGAGGAATAAAAATGTTATTAGGTTCCTCAGAGAAGACCCACTCAATTTCGAAGGAGCAGTTCAAGTTTCCCATCATTAATTATTTTTCCCAAATACATGATGGCTTCTGAAAGGGAGGGAAGACTTAAAGCAACATAGTTGAGTACTGCACTAAGATCTGTCATCTCTATTCCCTATTACTGTATCTTCTTGAGTACTTAGCAAAAGCACTTTAAACATCTGGCTTTTATGTGGCAGTCAAAAAAATTTTTTTCAGGCTGGGAATATAGCTCAGTGGTATGGTGCTTGCCTAGCATGAACAAAGGCCTGGGTTCGATCTCTGGCACTGAAAAGACCAAAAAACACCCAGACCCAACACTATGGTTAATTTGATCCAAAGAACTCCTTATAGAGCTGTCAAAAATGGTCAAATACTAAAACTATAGCTTTGTTTCTAATCACATTGCATCTGATTTAGTTACGTGATAACTTTATCTTGGCATCGAGATAAAGCCTTGGCAGGCTTTTATGTCCAAGACCTGTCAATGAGCATGGCTTAAGAAATATTCTATGCCCAAGCAATTCAGGCTAAAAATAACTCTGTGAGCTATTTTTTTCTTTACTCATCCACAGAACACATTTGTATGTCAACAAGAACTTTGCTCCTTGTGAGTTTTCACTCCTGCTTACTCCTTCCTGAAAATAGAGTTGTTTAATATAATCCAGGTACGTCAGAGGGTTGGTGTGAGACATACATAGCAACAAAACTATGCTGGTGGAACAAAGCTTGACTACCAAGTGTCCAGAGGAAAATAGAAGGATAAAAGAACCCAGCATTCACAGGTAGGATATCATAAAAATACATTCTCCTGTCCCACAAATATGCACAATTCTTTTTATCAGTATATGATTTATATACAGAATGCACCGTATATTAACACTAATTCAGTACTTAATTGTATTTACTTTTCCAAGACCATTAACTCATTAATTTTCACAACTCTATAAAGTAGATATGATTATTCCAATTTCACATTTGAAAAAACTAAGGCCCAAAGATAGAACAACTTGCCCAAGGTCCCAGAACAAATTGGCAAAGCCAAGATACAAGGCAGCTCATGGGCCAGGGATTTAGCTCAGCGGTTCTGACACCTGCCTCACAAGCACAAGGACCCATTTGAACCCTGGTACCTGCCCCCAAAATTAACCAAAAGGTAGCTCATGATCTAACCCTTACACTATACTGTTCCTGCAACAATAAAGATGAGTTTTTAAAATTTCCTACACAACTTTATTCCTCTATCAAATATGCTAATTTACATTATCTAAATTAAGCAGACACATGGTCCCATGGTTGATCTTAATATGAAACCAAGGAGCAACAGGAACTTTAGTCTCTTCCAAAACATACAGCTCTTTTAACACACCAGATGTTACCCCCTTTCGAATATAAAAATGCATTGAGATAACTGGTAAGAATAATTACTTTCTAGCAACAGGACATGATTGCAGAATCAGGACCCTGGATCCTTTCAACTTAAGCAGTCACTACTCAATGGAACTTTGGTAGCTATAACAGAATTTAAGTAGCTAGTCTCTGAAAGAAAAGTCAATTTAAAGAGACCCTGATTAGAGTCTGTCTTATTCTATATGTAATTACGGTGACAGAACATGAAGTAAAAAGTTTCCTATGCTTAAGACTAATAGATTTTTAGAAATAAAGCAATGGTCTAATCTGCTGTGCCAGAAGTTCATATAATTGAAAGTTTAGCTAAGGCGAAGGCATCATTCATATGCTTCTTTTGCTTAAGGGCTGTAACCTTTATTTAAAAGCTGTCTCTCAATTTCTTCCATCTCTTTAACACTTCATTCATTCATAAACTGTTATTTTTTTAAAGTACAGGCAATCACATTTTAAAACACCACTAACTGGTTCCCTTCTAGGATAGATCGAATACTTTCAAATATTGAACATTTTGCTTTAATCAAAGTTTCCTTATAATCAGTAATTTTAGAAAACTTTTTTGGCTATCTTCACCTTAATATCACCATAATCAAAAAACACTGATGTCACCATTTTGGTGACAAAAGCAAATCAGGAAGTTTAGCTATTTACCCAGCCCTCCTTGGCCTCCTGATCTGCTTTGACACAATTTCACTTTCACCAATGCATTTACTTTCTACAGCTGTACCAGTAAACGAATAAAAGTGGAAAATTTCAATCCTGACATCCAGAATTCACTGGAATGCCGAGATGGACCTGGCCCTTGGGACAAGTCAGTCTCATCAGCTTCTTCTCACGTCCTGCTCCAACAGATTCCTAAGCTACTATCTAAACAATGTTGGTTTCTTCCAATCTAAAAGATAATTTATAACATATAGCTTAAAATGACACAAAAGTTTGGTGAAAAACATTCCTTGTGGCTAGGAAGGGCTTCAAAACTTAGTGCTTAAATCATTTAATTTTTTTAACATACATTATCACATTGGGCTGTAGAAAAATCAAACTGGTCTAAACTGAGTCTAGTAAAGGCAGTTGCAGTAGCAGGTTTCAAGAAATTAGCAGTCCCTGGCACCAGTCTATGAGAGAGTAAAATCCTAAACATTGATACTTAGTAAAGTCAGCAAAGTCCAGTCTGTGAATGACTGATATTAAGACTCACACCTTCAATTTCCTAGCCCTGGCTTCAGTTTCCCTCCTCCCACTGCCCTCCAAATACAAGTGGTGATTATAGACGAGGCGGTGAAGTTGCTTCAAAATATTTAATACGTGTTGGACACGTAAAGTTACATTTTTATACAAAAATCAATACAACGAAGGAGAAAATACTGTACAAAAACCTTATCAGCTCCCCCAACCTTTATACAACAAAGACTGGAGTCACCATATCTACAAAACCATAAGGTCTTTCCAATTAGGGCTTCTGTCTGTAAACTTTGTTTCATTAAACACTTTTTAAAAGCACTGTTTAGTAGTTCTGAGCTAGAGCTTTTAAAAATATAACTTTTCTCTATAAACTCCATATTTCCAAGCTTGAACTCTCCTGTGAAGTTCATCAAGCTTTTTTCCCCTGTGGGGAAGCGACGGTCCCTTAATACTCCCCTTTCCCAGAGTAATCACAGGGTATAAACGTTTTTTCTGTGCTAAAGAATGATGGAGAGGGAGAAATAATACAAGTCTCTATTGCAGAGTAAAACCTCCTAGTCTGAGGAAATCCTGGGAGGAAACGCCACTCCAGGCCTGGTGCGGTTCTAGTTTTTATTTGAGGGGTGTGTGTAAAGTCCCTCCCTCCCCCGAGAAGGAATGGGGAACTCCCCGGCCTACAACCTTTCTGCCGCTTCCTTCTCTGCGTGGCAGGCAAAGGAAAGTCCCTGTCTGCCCCCAAAGTCCTCAACTCGGAGAAAAGGTGGTGCATTCCAGAAGGACGAAATAGTCAGAATTCAACAGGACAAACTTACGGAAACACAGACAAACACATACACAAAAGTTAACGATCGTCCTCTTTCTATAAGCCCCCAACTCGATCTCAAGCGGAGACTCGAGAGCCACAGGGCACAGCGGGGCTGCCCAACCCCGGGGCAGTGGATGCTGCCTGGCGGCAGCCAGTCTCCCCAGCGCGCACGGCGCCAGCGGTCTCTGGGGCGTCCTCGCAGCCGGGAGAGGCCCGGCCCTCACTTCAGGGACGCCCGCTGCTCAACCTCCACCCGCACGGGGCCGGGGCCTCAGAAGGCCACGATGGCTGTGCTCCAAGGGTTAATGTCTCTCAGCACCGGCTTATCGCAGCAGATCTGCCCGGGCTCAGCGGCTTCCGGACCGCTTTCCTCTCCTTCCTCCTCTTCCCGGCCGCCCCCTGGGCTTTTCCGCAAGAGTCCAGAGAAGCTGGAGCCGAAGATGCTGATGAGGTTCGCCACGTTCCCGGTCTCCATCTCCTCCTCGCCGTCCTCCTCG